GGGGGATTAGGGGATTTATGTTAGGAGGGGGATTGGGGTGATTTGTGTTAGGAGATGGGAATAGGGGGGACAGTTGTGCTAGGAGGGGGGGTATTTGTGCTAGGAGGCGGGATTTGGTTGGGGAGAAAGGATTTGTGCTAGGAAAGGTAAAATGGGGGGAATTTATGTTAGGAGGGGGGATTTGGGGGAGAGGATTCATGCTACAGTGAAAATTTGAGGGTAAGGAGGATGTGTGCTAGAGGGGTGAAGTAGAACTACAGGTAATGTTTGTTTTTTTTGGGGGGGTGCAAGTAGCGGGTCTCACCTAGGGTGCAAAATAGTCTAGCACCGGCCCTGACTATGGCCCAATGTAAAGTAAGATTTAGTAATAGTGCTAGTTAATCTAATTACATTACAGATGGATTTTAATGTGATATGATGGCAAGTATGGTGAAAAGATCCTGTGCTATCCTTTTGGATTAGGTACATTTATTTCCATATACAACTGAACTGATCTGTTATTGTGTGTATAGTTATGGGAAGCCATTTCAAAATTGTCATGGTGATCAATGTGATGTACCCCTGTGTTGAAAAGTATCCATGCAATAGTATATACCATTTCGAGGAAGCCTTTGGAAGCAAGATATGATTGTAGGTTATATTTAGAAATAATTATATGGTTTTGAATATAATCTAATTTAATTTTAGGAAAGAATATTATTTGGTAGCAACAGCTATCTGTGTTTATATTTTCAGATATGGTTTGTAGCCAATGTTCTGTTATCTTCTATGGTTATATAAGCCATATTTTGTGGTTTCTTTACTCCCACGTGCTTACCACCCCTGGAAGGAGTTAACGTGACAGGGCTTTCCCCTCCTCTCCTTCCAATTGGGTTTTTTCAGTATTCCCCTTGGATGCGCATTATGTACTCTCAGATGGAACATTATTGCAGTTATATGTTTTGAAAATCTCTGTAGTATAATACCATCATTTTTAAATTGTAATTTTGTGTTCTGTCTTGTCTCCACACTGCCAAGTAGACCTGTTTGAGCACTCTCAATAACACCTTCTCATCTAATCCTCATTCAACTATTCTCTGCCTTGCACTCTCTACTTTGTCCACCACTGCAAAAACATGCCCATACTTAAAAAGTCTTCCTTGGACCCCACCAATATTAATAACCTACACCCCATCTCCTTGCTCCCATTTTCCTCCAAACTCCTTGAACGCCTGGTCTACAACCAACTGAGTGATCACCTCATTAAAAATAACCTTGATCCCCTTCAGTCTGGGTTTTGCCCTCAACATTCCACAGAAACTGCTTTCCTAAAACTCACCAATTATCTACTAACAGCTAAAAACCAATGGACACTTTTCTATACTCTCACTTCTGGACCTTTCGGCTGCCTTTGATATGGTTGACCACCCTTTCCTCCTCAAAAAACTTTACACTCTTGGTATATGTTACTGTGCTCCTCATTGGTTTACATCCTACCTATCCCACTGCACCTTCAGTGTCACTTACAATTCTAATTCCTCCTCTCCTCTTCCTTTCTCTGTTGGGGTCTCCCAAGGTTCTGTTCTTGGACCTCTCCTATTCTTGATCTAAGCCTTCTCCCCGGGTCAGCTGATAGCCTCCCATGGCTTTCAATATAATTTCTATGACACAGAATCTATCTCTCTACTCTCAGCTCACAACATCAGTCTCCTCAAGCATCACTATCTTACTGACCAACATATCTAATCTGGATGTTACACCACTTCCTTAAACTTAATCTATCCTAAACCGAGCTCCTAATATTTCCTCCCCCATGTGCCCCTTTTCCTGACTTCTCTGTCAAGATCAATGGCACAACCATCAACCTGTCTCTGCATGCCAGGGTGCTAGGTGTAATCCTGGACTCTGAACTCTCCTTTCGGCCCCATATCCAATCACTTTCCAAAGCTTGCTGTCTCAACCTCTGCAATACCTCCAAAGTATGCCCCTTCCTAACCAATGACACCACAACGCTCCTAATTCACTTCCAGATTATCTCTTGCCTGGACTTCTGCAACTCCCTCCTCATTGGATTACCTTTACCTAGGCTATCCCCCTCCAGTATATCATGATTGCTGCTGCCGGGCTCATCCATCTTACCAACCATTCGGTGTCTGCCACCCCTCTGCCAATCCCTGCACTGGTTGCCACTCACCCAACAAATTAAATTCAAAATACTAACAACAACTTACAAAGCCATCCACAACTCAACCTCCAACTACATCACTAACCTAGTCTCAAAATACCAACCTAACCTCTCTCTTTGTTCCTACCAAGACCTTCTGCTCTCTAGTTCCCTTGTCAACTCCTCCCATACTTGCCTGTAGGACCTCTCTCAAGCCTCTCCCATCCTATGGAATTCCCTACTCCAATCTGTCTGGCTTTCTCCTACTCTGTGCACTTTTAGGCAATACCTGAACACCTTTCTCTTCAGAGAATCCTATCATGCCACCACCTAAAAACTATACATGTATTTTCTCAATCAGCTCATCCCTCACAGTTATTACTTTTTGTATCACTTGACCCTCCCCTTTAAGATTGTAAGCTCTAATGAGCAGGGCCCACTGATTCCTCCAGTATTCAATTGTATTGTAACTATGCTGTTTGCCCTCACATTGTAAAGCACTGTGCAAACTGCTGGCGTTATATAAATCCTGTATTATAATAATAATAATAATAATTTTGTAGTCTGTACTGAAATTTATAGCTCCTGATGAAGTGGATATGTTCCAGGAAATGCATTGAGCTACATCTGTATGAAAAGAGTGGACTCTAATAAAGAAGGAGAACTAATCCACTTGGGAATATTATATATACATGTTGAGACATCAGACTACAATTTTACTACACCAGTGCTACACGTGGACAATGTTCTTGTATTTTAACCATTTTGATTAAATATAATCATGTTTTTTAACCACTTGCTGCCCCACCACAGTACATTTACTGGGGCAGCGTGGCACTTTCAGTGTTAGTCATGTATATATAAGGGATTTTGCCTGCTCCGGTTCAAGGTTCAATCACTCAATCAGACTGACATCACGATGATCGTTGTGTTTTACCCACTGCATGAGCTCCATCATAGCTGATGTTCCACGGCACAGTTCCACAGATCTCAGATTTATCTATATTAACAGAGGCTGATTGTACTTGTTGCGATTGGGCACCCTTTACATGTGAGTGCACAATTCATTTACTTTGTGATATTAAAATGTTTTAAAGTTTACGCACTATTGTGGAGTCTTTTGTTTATGAGGTGATGTGATGGCTGGAGTTAAGTTCCGGATGAGTTGTGAATGATAGCTGGGATCCATCAAGTTGATCTACAGTGTCCATACTGGGACCAAAAGCGTAGTTAGACCAAACATAGTACTATGTGAGGTCATATTGCTGGAGATGAGCAGACATCTGGGGGTGGAATGAGCTCTTGGTGGCTACAAAGGATGGAAGCATTCTAATGAAGATGAATGGACTCATTTTACTTATATTTTTGTGATTTCACCATATATTGTAGCGCTGCACTAATCACTGTATTTATCTGTACCATGTGATTAGCTGTAGTAATTAACACTTAAGCAAGCTGTTCATGAACGGGAAACATATTCATGACAGCAAAATATATTACAATCACTGCACAAGCAATAACAGTGTAAAAAAAAATCCCTGATCGCCCCCCCTGGAGAAGTACAGTGTCATTATGGTGGCAATGAGCTATTCTGATGACAGGATGTAAAAAGAAAAAAATAGTAAAAACGGAAAAAGAAATGTTTAAAAAATGAAATAAATTATTTGCATTTTTACATACTGTCTTTAGTCAGTATCCCTGATCACAGCCAAACCAGTCATATGATGATGCTGTACTGCACTGATGACAGTACATAGAAAGATTTGCAAAAAACCCTAATTTTATTTAATTTCTTCATTTTCCAAAAAATTACAACTTCAAAGAACTCGCCATGCTTCTTACTAAATACCTCAGACTGTCTGTTTTTGAAAAAGGGGTCATTTTGGGGGTATTTGTATTGTCCTGGAATTTTTAGGGCCTAAAGAAATGAGCTAGTCCTTTAGTACATCAGGATTGATCAATTTACAAATATACTGTATATACCATAGTTTGTAGATGCTATAACTTTTACACAAACCAATTAATATACACTTATTGGGGTTTTTTTTTTACCAAAGACAAGCAGAAGAATAGATTTTGGCCTAAATGTATGAAGAAATTAGATTTTTTATTTTTTTATTGGATATGTTTTATAACAGAAAGTAGAAAATATTGGGGTTTTTTTTTCAAAATTTTCAACATTATTTATATTATAAAAAAACAGTGGTGAACAAATACCACCAAAATATAGCTATGAAAAAAAATTATATAAATTTAATTTGCACAGTGTTTCATGGCTGTGCAATTGTCAGTTAAAGTAACTCAATGCCGAATAGCAAAAAAAGGCCTGGTAAAGAAGGGGTAAAACCTTCCGAAGCGCAAGTGGTTAACTAATATTTCAAGTTGTACCTCAAAAATCACGTTCAAAACATCTTTGTTTTCTTTTAGCATTAAATATTAGGATGTGGCACTTTTTGGTCAGCTCCTATATCGTTACTACCATCAAATGTGAATGACTTGTAAAAAACAGTGTTAGGTTATTGTTCTCTTCTAATATTGCCTGAATTGTATACCTGTGACTATATGCTGATATGTATGCTCATATCTGTAAACTCCAACTTCATTTGGTATCACAGATGAAAGAAACTTTCAAAGCTTTGACTCCTCTGCATCCATTTAAAATATTCTTTGTGTATTCATATTCACTTCAACTTAATAGTTATTGTAAGTTCAAATTGGGGTATTTAATGAGTGTTTATTTATATCACTCAATTTTTTTGCTAAAGACATGATTAATGCAAGGGTCAACTATGAAACAAAAACATTGTTCAAATTATTTACTGAACTAATTAAAATTTTTTCTTCTCTAGTAGAAATATTAAACACGTCTGAAGGAGCCAATTCTGGGTCTTGTGGCTCTCCATTCAGTGTATCTCTTGTAATCTCCAGGTCTCAGGTAATACTGATGTCCCCTATAGTTAGGTTCCTCATAGAACATCCAGTATCCATCTTGTATTTGGACAGAATAGATGTCATGATGGCGGAATCTTTCATAAACTTGAGGACAATCTTCAGTGAATTCCATCATTTGACCTCTGAAATCTTCTCTCTCATGAATTCTAATCCTAAATGAACCTAGATGCTGTGTTAATAGAAGACAATACTTAACATTGAATTACATTTCCAAAAACATCAGTGTACTTAAATTGGAGAAAAGTAATAGAGTAATTGATCTGTCATTACAATTCACTTCTAATTAGTTATGGGACGATCATCCCCCCGTTCAGTTTGAACATTCGAACCTATCGAAAGTTCAATTTCAAACTTTGAACAAGGACTATTTACTGAGTGGTATCTTACTGCATCTGACTATGTGGTAAGATACTGCCCAGCTACTAAAATACCTCATTAGTTATATTATTAAGACAGTAGTGAGACATTCTTTAATGTTTCAGCTGTCAGCGGGTTCTCCGCTGACAACAGAATGTCAAAGGAATTGTTGGCATTGCCCAACAATTAAATTTTTTTTTTTAAATGGCATGGGGTCCCATCCATCCCTCCCATCCATGCCAAGCCCTTTCGGGTCTGGTACAGATTTGGAGGGGATCCCCCACACCAAAATTTAAAAAAGTGGCATGGGGCACCCCCAAAATCCTTACCAGACCCTTATCCAAGCATGCAGCCCGGCAGGTCAGGAGAGGGGGGGATGAGAAAGCACCCCCCTCCTGAACTATACTAGGCCATATGCCCTCAACATGGGTGGGGTGCTTTGGGGCAGGGGGGCTCCACCCCAAAGCACCTTGTCCCCATGTTGATGGGGGACTCTTCCCTAAAATCCTGGCCGGTGGTTGTGGGGGTCTGCAGGTGGGGGGCTTATCCCGCCTCCCCCATGTGAACGAGTATGCAGTACATGGTACCGCCACCCATTCCCCCCAAAAAAGTGTAGTGTAAAAATGACAGGAGACAATCTTTGACAAGTCCTTTTAAAAAAAAACAAACAAAAAAATGTCCACTGAAGTAGATCCGACATCAACCACGATGTCTGCCGCCACCGCCACCCAGAAAAAAATAACGCTTCATTCTTGACGCAGGCGCACAGATAACAGTTCAAAAATACTGTGAAGACGTCACAAGGGGGCAGGGTTACCCCACCCCTTGTGATGTCATCATGCACTGTGATTGGCCAAAGCAGTGCACCTGACCTGTGGTATGAATACCCCCCCTTTCATTACTCCCTGCCAATCACAACCCTCCTCTAACCTTTCTGATCCTACCTTACACAGCAGGTAGAAGGCAGAAGGCACGACATGTCTGGAGAGAGGGAGGGACATGTGGGATATGCTTTTCATGTTAACAGGCAGGTGATTGGTTGCTAGGAATGCCTAACAACCAATCACCAGCTTATTAACTTAAAAAGCTGGGTAGCCCTACTCTCTGGCTGGGCACGCCGTGCCTTCTGCCTTCTACCTGCTAAAAGATGAATACTGTGGTGGTGGCAGTGGTGACTAAGGGGGCAGGGGAGGAAGATAGCAGCCTGCAGAGGACATCCAGGCTGCTAAGTGTCGGAGCTGGGGTCCATATAGGACTGTCATTCGGTCCGTTTGTGAACCCCGGTCCACCATTTAGTGATGACTGAAATAGACCATGTTGAATAGACTAGTAGTGGAAGAACAGCAAAACACAAAGGTCTCAATATTGTTTGTTATTTTTTTACCAGACTACTACTAGGATGCTGTAACCCCTTTTTCTTTTTTGTTGTGCATACTGACAATAGTCTCTTTATTTTCTTCTTAAAACACAAAGGAAGCTGCATACATAGTGAACATATAAAGCTGTCTCCATGCGCACATATAATTACAATTTATAAATAAAGTAAAATAATATATTAACACCCATTTATAAGCAGATTTGGAGTCCAATATTATAATATGAAAAAGACATACTGTATTATCATTATGGTCAGAATCTGAACAGCCAGGGGGCATAAATCTAATTAAACTGTTCAAAGCAGTAATATAAATATGTCCTATGAGTTTAGATATTTTTACATCATTTATTAAATAGCAGTTGACAACATTATTGAACATTACCTGGGGGCTCACACGACAAGATCTAATAGAGTCATTGTAACCCATCCATTGCTGAAAGTCTGGATATTCTCCCCTGTGAAGGAAGTACTGGTGTCCTCTGTAGTTGGGATGTTCATTCAGAATCCAGTTTCCACTTTCTACACGAATGGAGTTACAGCGTCTGAAATATGAGGACAGGTTTGGGCATTCAGAGTTACACTCATAGGAGCGACCTTGGAAGTCTCTGTCCTCATAGAAGATGATCTAGAAAATTAAGTTTTGAAAATTCATATACATTTCTAACTTAAAGCATTTTAAAAATTCAGATCTAAAGCTATATTTTTATTTTATGCTTGCGTATGACAGAGTGGGATTGATTTACTAAAGGCAAAAAGACTTTGCACTTTGCAAAGTGTAGTTGCACTCTGCAAGTGCAGTTGCTCCATAGCTTAGTTAATGAGCAGAAGCTCTGCTGACTTCCATCATCCAATTACGTGCAAGCAAAATGTTGTTTTTTATCTTCCTTGCATGTGATTGGGTATTCTTTATAAAGTGTTTGTAAAGGTTTAACTCATTTACTAAGCTCTAGGGCAACTGCAGTTGAGAGTACTACTGCACTTTGCAAAGTGCACAGTCTATTTACCTTTAGTAAATCAACCCCCATGGCTTCATGCATATTAATGTTTTTCATGCTCAGGTTCTGCATTGCATCACACTATCATCAGCTATAGTAGTGTAAGCAAACTAACGTGATGCTTTGTTACAGAAAGTACCCCCTCCTTTGCACTAGCAGGCATTGAAATTTAGAGTATAGGTACACTTAAATATAGATAGATAAGATAAATAGATAGATAGATAGATAGATAGATAGAGATAGATAGATAGATAGATAGATAGATAGATAGATAGATAGATAGATAGATAGATACTAAAATCCTGTATTGTTACCCCATCTGTCCTCCTTTCTATTGAAAGAGATGAAAGGGAGAGCTGAGATGGCTCTCTAAAAATGCAAAAACATCTGTCAAAATCTGACACTAGTGAAAAGTCTGCTCTTTCTGCAAAGATGCATGCCTTACGAAGTTGTTGGCTTGGATCACCATTCTTGATAAAAAGTAGACCAAGTACACATTACTATAAATACTCAACATCAGTATCAGTTAAAGTGTAGCTAAACCGAAAAACAAATATGTAATATATTGCAGCTTAGATGTGGTGGCTGCTTTAGTGTTCTTATTTCATGCTTTTTTCCTCTGGTGATCCTGTCACCTCCTGTCCTGCGTAATAACATTCATACATTGTACTTTATCTATGGAGGTGTAGCATGGTCATATTAGGACAGGACCACACAGACACATTTCATTCTTTTATTTTTTATAACATAGATGAGAAGTGTTTTGCAGTCCACAGAAGTAGTTGGGAACAAGGATAACTGATAACAGGTTTTTGAAGATCTTCCTTACCTTTTTTAGTCCGCCTCAGAGATATGATTTAGCAGTTATGTTTACCCTGTGTAAGGGAGCACTCAACAACAGCTGTAAAATCCTAGAGCAGCAACATCACCCATAGGCTCCCATGGTCCAGCCGTTGCTGGTGCTCCCTCTTCTGCAGCAGCCACTCACTGACACAGAAGAGCCAGAGCTGTTGGATTAAATGGCTGGTCCAGACCAGATTAAAAAGAGTTGGTTCTGGCCAGCTCAGTGGATTGTGTTAAAAAAGGCCTGGATTCTTTCTTAGATACTCAGAATATAACTGGATACTAACATTTTTAGGTAAAGTTGATCCAGGGAATATCTGATTGCCTCTCGGGGATCAGGAAGGAATTTTTTTTCCTTGCAGGAGCAGATTGGATCATGCTTTGCTGGGTTTTTTTTTCCTTCCTCTGGAACAACTGTGGGTGTAGTATTATAACTTTTTTTTTTAATGGTTGAACTGGATGGACTTTTGTCTCTTTACAGCCAGACTAACTATGTAACTATGTAAGTAATCACATGGGAGGATGGACTCCACAACCAGACTCTAAGAACCCTCATGGTGTGTCACAAAGTATCTAGGGACACTGTGGTCTTCCCTGCCATCCTTAACCTCCTCGGCGGTCTGATTATTTCCGATTTTTTGTGCTGAAAGCGGTACCATTTTTTTTGCATGGAAATATGTAGGTTTTTATTGTAGGCTGTAATTTTTAGGAATAACTCACTGAAATCTGTACGAACAAGAGTCTAGTAAACATCCCGGGTAGGATAAAATTTGAAACACGAAATCATAAATTATAATTTAATAAATAATCATAAAAAATAATAATATAATATTAATAAATTTAATTCAATAATATAATCAAACCAAAAAAACTGAAATTTGAAATACAGAGGCAAATTCACACATCGCTGACCAAAGTTGCAAAATCGTTTTCAGTGTCTGATGACGAATTTCCCCACGAATCATTATCACTCAATTCTGCAAGTGGTTCTGATTTAGTATCGCTGTTCTCTAGCTGGTCTAAAACCACTTTTGATGTAAAGGGATGCTTTTTGGACGCCATGGACTTTTCTAAGTTTCCAGGCAGAAAGAACAGTCAAAATGCAGGCAGGGCACGGGACAAAGCAGTAGGGACAAAATGTATGTGAAATGCATTGAAACAGCAATGTTTTACTATGTAATAATCATTTTTTTAAAAATGACATTTTTTAAAAAATTTCAAATTTGCCGCCCGTACGTCCCGACGTCACAGGGACCGGAACACGGAAGCCGGATGCCGGCATCGGCCGGAGGAGATGGCCGGGGACGCTGCAGGGGACACATCAAGGGAGCGAAGGACAAGGTAAGTGCTGCAGGGACTCCCTGAGCAACGCCGCATGGTAAGCCCGAGTGTAGCTCAAATTTTACCCCGAGCTACACTCGGGAATACCGCTAAGGAGGTTAATGAACCTCCTGTGCTCTCCAAAGCGGGCTCTAACAGTGCAAACCATGCAGCCCACATATAGGGAACCACAGGGGCAAGAAAGGCAGTAAACCACGTAGTCCATAGCATAAGTGAAAAAAAAACTTTGATGGCCCTTAAATATCTTTAGTTGGTGATGGAAAAATCGATACATCTTGCACCTAATTCTTCTGCACTGGAACATCCCAGTGAGATTGTAGAAGGTGGCAAGGGAATATGAGGGAGTTTGATCTAAGCTTTTTCGTTTACTGTGAGCAACAATTTCTTTAATATTTTGTGCTCTCTTGTACACAAATAAGGAGTTTCTGAAAGAACAAGTCCTAATTTGGGATCCTGGAGTAAATTCTTCCAGTGCTGTTTAATGATCATTTCCATTTATTTGTGTTTATAACAGTATTGGGTAATGAACTTTACATCAGAACTAAATGTAGATTCTGTTTGAATGCTCCAGGTGGTGGCCAATTGATAGTCCTAGTAGGTCCTATTAATAAGGTCAAGATAGTATCCCTAATCAAGGAATCTGTCCTATGTAACAGATATGAAAAAAAAGGGTAAATACAAAGATCTTTTTATACAGGGAATGCAGAGTAGGTAGGAGGAGGAGGAGAGAGGGAACTTTTTTTAAGTATTGTTAGAGTTAAGCTGGGTACACATGGGCTGAAAACCAGCCGAGAATAGTTGGCTCAGTAAGATCTGGCTGGCTTTTGGCCTGTGTGTACAGCTCTTCCTCTGAGAGAAAACGGTCTCATGACCTGCTTCTGTCAAACAGACATGCTGGAAAACCAGCATCTGATCGGCGTACGATCAGTGTGTCCTGGCGGGGGAGGGGGAGCGTGGTGTAGCCCACTGGTTTGAGCAAAACAATTTCTTGTATGTATCCAGCATCAGCCTTTTCTTCCACTTTAACTGCTTCCGCTCCTCCCTATAGCAGAAATACTTCTACAAGGTGGTACGGGTGTGCAAAATCGTGTGTATATATACGTGGTTTTGCAGTTTTGGGTAGGGAGGGTGCACGCATGGCCCTACCAGCGCTGCTATTCGTGGCCTTGGCTGTCAATCACTAGGTCCCGGTCGGTGATTCCTCGCCAGCCCCCGGTGATCGCCGAGTATTACCGATGGGGGAGAGACCTTTGTATAAAAAACACAGGTCTCTCCCCTATCAGCTCCTGCACACTGCTTTGTATGGCTCTACATAGCAGAACCATACAAAGCATTGTGGTTACAGTGTAAAGCATACACACAGCACACAGTGAAACAGCACACAGTTAACTCTTTGATCGCTCCACATGTTAACCCCTTTCTGCCCAGTGTCATTACTGCAGTGTCAGTGCTTTTTATTAGCACTAATCTCTGTATTGGTGTCACTGGGGATGTCAGTGACACCAAGTCAGTTGCCTCCAGTGTCAGAATGCCAGCTGCAGTCCCGCTATAAGTTGCTGATCACCGCCATTACAAACATTTTTTTTTAAATTACAGTATATATACCGCCATTTGTAAACTCTTTAACTTTTACATAAACCAATTAATTTACACGTATTGGGATTTTTTTTAGAAAAGACATGTAGCAGAATACATTTTGCCTAAATTTATGATGAAATTTGATTTTTTTTACCAGACATGTTTAATAGCAAAAAGTCAAAAATATAGTTTTTTTCTCAAAATTGTTGGTCTTTTTTTTATTTATAGAGCGAAAAATAAAAACACAAAGGCAATCAAATACCACTGCAAGAAAGCTCTATTTGTGGAAAAAAAAGGACATAAATGTATTTTGTGTGCAGAGTTGCATGACCGTGCAATTGTCAGTTAAAGTAACGCAGCACCGTATTGCAAAAAATTGCCTGGTCAGGAACGGGGGAGTAAATCCTCTGGAGGGCAAGTGGTTAAAGGAAGCAAATTAAAAAAGTTAATTGTTGAGATCTACATAAACCTAAAAAAAAACTGTTCATTCTCATATTGATCACAGAGTAGAATTCTAACTCAAATAGTTCTGAAAATTCCAAATATTCTCTTTAAAACAAATTTACTCTAAATCATTTCCTGTAGACACAATTCTGCTGATTATAATGATATTTGTTTCACTTAAATAACTGTAACAATACTCAATTATTGTAAAGGATGATGTCTACATGTCAAGCAGTGCTTGATGAACATTAATTGTAACATGTTACAAATTATAACGCAGCTTTAAAATGCTTATTCTTAAATGCACATTCATCACCTGCTGAATTATAATTGAATAAATACCTTTCCCATTTTGTATAGAATATCGAGATATGTTCAAAGGAATTGAAAAGAGGGAGCTTTTTATGCTGTGCCTTATATGCAT